CCACAGGTTTAATTGCCTCCAACAACTATTACCTCCATTACCATGTGATCATAAGAAATGGATGATGCCCAGCTACCATTACTGAATGTTTTGATCAAGGACTCAACAGATAGATCCTGATCAAAAGAAGGAACAGGGTAGAACAGAACTTCCAACTCATATGGAAACCAGACTTACTGGATCCACTGAGACTGGTACAACCCCCAAGTCTGCTGCCCGGAAATAATCTTTGAACTTTGAACCAAAACTATTCCATGAAGTCATCATTAAATTAAACAACAGTTTACCCCAATTAATAAAGAACGTATGCCTGAAGCATAGCACTCTTATAAAGAATTATCTATATGAGTGCAAACTGACACAGTTTATCTAAAGCACAGGTGAGTACTTTAAGGGGCAGAAAGCCTCAATTAATGGTGATAAAACAACATGAGCAGAGACAGAATGGTGACACAATATGATATAACCAATATTACTGAGCTATTCATGTAGATAGTGTGAATGGATACATGTTTGGCTATGTATATTGCCACCAAAAATAGATAAATTTAAAAAAAAAAAAAAAAACTATTTGCTGGTGGAAAACAGACTGCTGAAAAACAAGAATAGAAAGAAGAAAACCAATAAGGAAGATGGTGAAATTGCCCAGGAAAAAGACGGCAGCATCTTGAAGCAGGGTAGTAGTAGCAGAGATTGAGTGACAGAGAATTTGTAATGTTCTGGAGATAGAAACAGCTAGATATGCTAGTGGACTGGGTATGGAGAGGATGAGCAGAAAGAGGACTAAAAGATTATTCCTGAGATTTTGGCTTAAGCAAAAGGAAACTAACATTTTTCAAATACCATGGCACTCAGTTATGACTTTTGTAATGACATAAGCTGGACCACTACACAGCCAGCACCAGTATTCAGAGAAAATTGATAGGATCTAACAGTTTTCATAGCGGCACTTTTACATTTGGTCTCTTTATATTCCTTATCAACTCACTACACTAAAAAGATCCTAAAATTTTACAGCTCTTTGGATTCAACTATCCTAATTTGAAAAAATAACTATAAACAAAAACAGACATCTTTACATAAACAAGAAAAACTACATTTTTAAATTAATACCACCACATCAGTGTTTACCATATTTTCTAATTACCATAAAGGATTCAAAACTGCACGGCAAGTGGTCCTACTACATAGAACAGGCTCATATTGAATAGGAGGTAAATCAGGTCTCTCCTTCAGTGGTGTAAATAGGGCTGCCACTGGGACAACCATTCTTGTAGCTTCTAGTCGACTTGATGGCCAAACATTCCAACTAAATCGGACCCCATCTCGTTCTTCATTTTGTTGGATAAATTCCAAATAGGTAGTCATTGTGGAGCTCGTTTCTTATTTCTGTAACAAAATAAAAAGTTATTAACAAAAAATCCAGAAGTGTCTTAAGAAGATTCAAAACAAGTATGTTTTTCCCATTTTCAGCAATGCTAACCCATTAAAAATCATTACAAAATGAAATATTTATCTCAGAAAAAAATTAGCAAGCAACAATAACTTTACTTACAACATATTTAATGACTCTCCAGAACCCAAGGTCCATCAGGCCCAAAAAGAAATATTTTATTCTTAAAAGACATAATGGCAAATACAGTGTTATATATAATTTTACAACTATAGCAGTCAAAAATAGTAATAATAATAAATAAAAAAGAAAGGCAGCAGTTGTTGTTACTACTTAGGTACAACTAAATACCTTGTGGGATGAGTATTTCTTGATTTGAAGGCCTAGGGTCATGGTTTCAAAGGTCTGTCCAGTCAGTTGGCCTAATACTGTTTTTAGAGTCTCTGTTTTACCTCCTAGTTCAGTGAGTAGTACCTGGGGTCTTAAAAGGTTGTGACTGCCACACAAGATACAACAATTGGTCTCTATTCACCTGGAACAGCCAGGTGACACCCAGGAAATGGAGAAGGAAATGGATTACAGGTCTAACTGCCTCCATGAATTACTACCTCCATTGCCATGAGACCAGAACAGTATGGTGCCAGCTACTGTTACTGAATGTTTTGATCAAGGACCCAACAGATGAAAAGGAGGAAAATGTGGAACAAAATTTCAAATTCTTATAGAAACCAGACTTACTGGATCCACTGTGACTAGGAGAACTCTCAAATTTATTGCCCTAAAATAATCCCTAAGCCTTGAACTGAAACTATACCATGAAGTCATCTTTAAACTAAGCAACAGTTTAGCTCAACCAGTAAAGAATGTTTGCCTTCAGTAGTGCGCTCTTTTAAACAATTATCTATATGAAATCAAACTGACAACAGTAACTCTAAGAGAGGAGAAGTTTAGGAAACAGTCTAAGTTAATGATAGTGAAACAACACAGGTAGAGACAGTGAGTATTGTGACACAATGTGAAGAATATAACCAATGTCACTGAACTACACACATAGAAAATGCTGAATGGGTGTATGTTTTGTTATATGAACTTTCACCAAAAGTAAAATAAAAATATATGTATATTATTCTTTGTTATTCACTCCTGACAATTACAGCAAAGAATAATAAGGGTTCTATTTATTTAAGGGCCTACAGGAAAGAAAGGCAAAAATAAGGAAAAATTTTTGATCCTATATTTCTCAGATTAGCCTTGTAAATTATTCTAGTAAACAGATTATCAAAAACATAAAATTCTAAAAACTCATAGTTTCTATTCAGAAAATTACAAGGTTACACTAAAACTGTTAGAAGAGAATGTTTAATGGTACCTAACAAAAAGATTTTCCTAAAGGTATACAGCAGAACTTTGTAGTATTTTTGCCAACATTTCTGTGAATCGAAAATTATTTCAAAATAAAAAGTGCAGATACAGGATAATTGTGTCACAATACAGTAAATAAAATGCTTGAGAAATGGTATTCCTTGTGATTTGTATAATCATTTAACCTCTTTTGCAGAAACTTAATTCAGGATATTTTTAACATTGTAATTTGTGAGGCCATTTTAAACTCTATTTCAAGGTACATCATTTCAGTGTAGTAATTTCAGCTCACTACCAGCAGGAGGGAGACCTGGTTCCACAGTGGTTAAAGCACTCAGCTGCTAACTGAAAGGTCTGCAGTTTGAACCCACCAGCCGCTCCATGAGGGAAAGATGTGGTAGTCTGCTTCTGTAAAGACTTACAGCGTTGGAAACCCTATGCGGCAGTTCTACTCTGTCCCATAGGGTCACTATGAGTCGAAATCGACTCGACGGCAACAGGTCTGGTTTAGTTTTTACCAGCAGGAGGAGGACGCCACTCTGGTCAGGGCCCGGTACCAAGAGACATCTCCATTTTGTTCCTAACAGCCTGTCTGGGATACCAGCCTTCCTCCCCAGTCAACAGTTCTATCTCATGCTCTTAAACTGCAGCAGTGGTTTATCATGGAAGGAAACTGCAGAATTTAAAGGTCTGGGAGGATAAGAGTTTCAAGTGCTATGTGGCTGGCCAAAAGATTTGTAACAGAGAAAGCAGAGAGATGAAGGACATCGAGTTAAAACAACAGAAGAATTATGAAACAAGGGAGCCAGAACAATCAACACAGATGTTGAAGCTGCTCAGAATGATGCGGGATGACGGACCGATTTTAAAATGTTAGGGAAGGAAAGGTATTCATTTGGAAGAAAAAAAAAAGCATGTTAGATACAGTAACAATTTTAATTTTAAAAATATTTTTCAATAGATTTTGATAATAAAAATTATAGAAAGTGACACTTAACAAATCTAAGTATCTCAGACAGCTAAGAAGGACTTCCTCTTAAAGAGAATTAAGAAATAAAAATTAAAAAAACACTGCATTTCTTAGTTCTATCATGCCAGAATCTCTAAGACAACAGGAGAATTTTTTGCTAATCAAAAGAGATCATGGATTTTTCAAAAGTTAATAAAGGGTAGAAGAATCCTAAGCTAAGACTAAACATGTTGTGAAAGGCTATCCTGCAGGTACATATAGAAAACAACTTTGAGAAGGGTGGTATGAGCTTTGAAGAAGTAGCTACTGAGGGATAATGACAAAACAAGGGCCTGGGATAGGCAGGAGAGAGAAGAAATCAACCTCAAGTTCTAACTCAAGAAGCAGTAAGGGGAGAAACAACCTCATCTAGGAGAGAAATCCAGTTTCTAGCAACAGCTTCCAAGCTACAGATGGGAATATAAATTCTAGGACTATGCAATCTTTCCCATTATTTCTACAGAACATAAAGCAAATGAAGTTTTCTGTTTATTACTTAACTGCATCTACAATCTAAAATGCATCTTTTTGGTCCATCACCAAACGCATTAAAATATCTACTACAACATACTAGACCAATCAGGCTTCTTCATTGAAACCACAAACCACAAAAATGTTTTGAGTGACTATTTTCTCGATTCTCCCAAGGATGATACATAACTAGTACTTAAGTATGTCGCAGACATGCTCTCAAAAATGGACAAAGTGAGCCTGTCACTTTACTTCATGGAAAACAACTAACAGTATTTGTTGCCAATGGTAAGATTTAAGCTTTCAAATAAAAATTAAAATTCTTGAAAACTTGTATCCATTACCATGAACTTGACAGCTTTGCACTATGTGAAGATTTTTCTGACGAGATCACTGGTGGTATTAATGAACATGATTTTTTTGACATTATATAATAAAATGTGTCAACATTTGAAAGATATCCATTTCTCAGTGAAATAATATTTCCCAAATGAGCACATCATGATGTTATAATATCATGCATTGGTAAAAGATCCATTCAAATTGCAAGACAGACCAATGAGTTTTAATGTGACAGAGTACAAAAAGTTCACTGGTAAGGTTTGAGATGCCATACTACAATTAACCTTTAATTTCTTAATTAAAAGTATGTGGAGTTTTGGTATAGTATCATAATAGAATATACAAAATTATTTGAAAAAGCTTTTAAAATATCTCTCCCTTCCCCAACTTATCTATGTAAGGTCAAATTTTCTTCATATATTTCAACCCAAACAATTATCACAATAGATTGAATGGAGAAACCAATATGAAAATCCATCTGTCTTCTATTAAACCAGTCGATAAAGAGATTTCAAAAATAATGCCACTTTTCTCACTGAATTTTTTTGGACAATATAGTATTTTTCATTAAAAAAATGTATGTTAACACTGTTATTTTTAACAAATTAAATATTTTTTAATTTCTCAGTTTCTCATCTTTAACTTGTAATACAGTGAATATCAAAAGATATAACCCACATAAACAAATGCTCTTTGGATCCTCAATAATGGTTAAGAGTATATAGGGGTCCTGAGAACCACTGCCTTAGGACATTAGGATTTGATTCTCTCAGGGAATCTAGCTGAAAAAGACACATATGAGACTTAGTATGGAGACATTTATACACAGGCAACGGCCAGGTTTAAGTATCTACAATACGTGTAAGAGCTGAATTTTAACTTCCCATCTTTACTTTTTATTAACATAATAAGCACCATCTGAGAGATATTTGAGCACAATTCCCCCCCCCCCACTCTTTTTCCTTTCTACCTCTTTGCTTTAAGACAATATTCGCTTGCTAAATCACATCCAATATTTTTCTTACATTCTCACTTTCCAGCAGGATTTTGAAGAGTCCTACCTGTTTCTTAATTGGCCCACAACATTTCTGACCTTCCTCACTCATCCAGGGTAGGAACTGTGCAATCCTAAAATCACTAATTCTATTACAAAATTTGCCAGGCGTGGTCCCATGTACAACAATGGCACATCTGAAATAAAGTTCTTTTACTAACTAGTTTCTCATAGCATTATTTTGCAAGCACTCTCTCTCATATTAACATGTTTGCATAAAATCATAAAACCAAATAAATACTACCACACACTAGGTTAGGATTCAGACTTAACACACTATTCCATTGCTATCGAGTCGATTCTGACCCCTAGTGACCCTACAGGGCAGAGTAGAAAAGCCCCATAGGGTTTCTAAGGAGAGGCTGGTGGATTCCAACTGCTGACCTTTTGGTTAGTAGCTGCAGCTCTTAACCAATGTGCCACGAGGGATCCCATACTAGTAACTTCAAAAAAAAAAAAAAAAGGGTGGTACAAACCATAAAAAGAATTCTAAAGAAACATCCCATTTTTCAGCACAACTTACACTCATAAGTTAAATAATATACCTGGTAGAACTACCAGCATTGTCACTTTCACCTAGTTTATCAATTACTTGCCATAGTATTTTAAAAGGCTGTCTCTATGATACAGTTTTTCAATATTCCAATTTTAACCCCTTTATAGATACCTAATTGAAAAGTACCTCATGGTTCTAAGTTGCAAGTAAAACTTGAGTTCCTTCCAATCAGGGCATTTGTTACTAGGCAGTTAAATGTGCCTTTCCCACTTTGTTTTAAAATCCTCAATGAAGCATCTTCAATTATTTCCACTGACTACCTTTATGATCTTGTAGAAATCATTTAACTTTTCTGATCCTCAGTTTTTTCGTCAGTAAAATGGGGGTTTGAACTAGAAGACTTCAGCGTCCCTCCCTACTCTAAAATTCGATGAGTCAATTTAAAACGATGGACTTAGGAAGTGTTAAGACCACTAGGGAAGGGAGAGAAGAAACACTTAACATGCATTTGTGTATTTAAACCGGTATTTAAATATAAAACTTTTTTTAACCAAGTTAACTTGGCTAGTTACTATGCTTCTGGGAGGTGGAGAGAGGGGGAGTTGAGGAAATACAAGGAAATGTGAAGTCAACATCCCACTCCAGCAATTGATTACAGGTAGATTTACTATGACTTTTCTCAGGTAGCACCTTTCCCACCGAAACGGATAAACACTACAGGAGAATAGAAGCCCAACAGGCTAAAATTGGTCCGATCTGAAAACCGAATTCTGTATGTAGTCAAGATCCAAGGCGTTAGCTTTCCTTAGCACTTTTCTCCTTCTCTCCTGTAAAGCCCAAGGCCAAACTACGGGTGACGAAGTCAGCTCGGTTCAAAGTCTAGGACACTTCAGATCAGGTAAGGTATGCACCGAGAAGTCTAAGGGCCCAGAAGTGACGATGGGCTGGGATGCATTAGGAGGGGTGCCCTGGAGGCAGGACTGGGGGTCCTCGAGAGATACTTGAATTGCAGTTTTTCACCCGACTCTCGTCTTTGGCATCTGATCTAGGGGTGCTGGGTGAGGGGGTCGGGCCCCCAGACTCCGGGAGAACGAAGCAGAGGGTGGGTGAGAGGGTACATGGCTCAACGCTCCCCTGCCAAGCCCGGTCACAGCCCCACCTGCCCGGCGGCAACGAGAGCACAGAGCGAGAATCGACTCCAAGACTCCTGCCCACCGGCCGGCCGCCCCTCCCCCGCTTCCCCCGCCTTCCACTGAGCACCCGCGGCCCCCAGAAGAACGTATAGGAGGCCCCCCTGACGTCGGTCCTTACCACAGTGCCCCCCTACAAGATCTGCGCCTGTCGCAGCCTCCGCCTGGCTAAATCAGTCCCCTCCGCCGAGCTGGAGTAGCCGTGGCAATGTAATCAAGGCCGGCGCCGCCCCGCCCCCGGCCTCCGCGCAGACCTGGGCCCAGCCAACATGGCTGGTGTAGCCTCTGCCACGTCAAGGGGAGGGGGCGGGGCATGAGGGGGGCGGGGGGACGGACCAAGACGGGTGGGGCGACGGGAAATGGGGAGATGAAGAGAACACACGGCCAGAGCGGGAAAGACCGGGAGGGGCCGGAGACCGGGGTTGGGGGGGCCGGGGGAAAAGCTGTACAAAGCCGGCGGAAGAGGGGTGGGGACGGAGGTAGAGGGCAGAACGACCAGAACTGGATAGAGTAAAGGGAGAACTGGAGCAGGAGAACCGAGGCAGAGCTGGGGCGTGGGGAGGTGGATGCCGAACCGCTCCCGTTGTTGCCACTCAGACTCAACTCGCCAAGAGAAAATGGAGACGTCCTCTAGCACATCCTGTCCTCTGGGGCCTTGGTGATTCAGAGAACCACCGACCACGTCTCCCCTGATAAAACAAAGTGAGAAATTTCGTTCCTTTACTTCATGCAACAAATATTTACTGAACACCAACTATGTGCCAGGTACAGTTGAGATGCTAGGGATAGATATGACAATCAGGCCAAACAAAATCCCTGACTTGGAAGAGTACATACTATTTATGTATCCTGGTCTACCTCTTTTGCTCCTGCATTGCCTCTGCCACCCCATAACCGACCCGCTCTCCAGTATACACAGTACAGTCTTTGGCTTATTAACCTTAATGCAATTGCTGCTTCTCTTTCCCAAGAAGGGAGCTGAGCAAAGTGGGACAGCTAGTTGGGAAGAAATTCGAGATTGGCGGTCTCAATAACCCCATTCTTCAGAGAGCTAACGGCATTAATTCCAGATATGATGGCATCTAAAATCCTGCAAAGCTTAGCCCTGTAAGCATTTTACTGAATAGGAGAGAAAAAAAAAAATCATAAAACACCCGTTCTTCAAAGCTTGCATTCTTCAGAAAGACAAACAAACCAAACATATATTTCCTTCCCTATAAACTGTGTATGCTAAGGTTGTTTTGGAAGGTGGAAGACGGTGAGTTGGCTTGTAAATTTTTAATACAATCCCGAAGAGTGAATGGGAATCAAAAGCCAAAACTCAGAGTAGGCTTGCAAATAAGGTGGGCTTAGCATGCTACCTTAATGAGGATTCTTGACTGAAAGCTCAGAAAGTAACAGCTGTGATCAATGGTACATATGTGAAAGAAAGGCATTCACAAAAAAAAAACAATAGCCAAGAATGAATAGGGTAAATAGATAGAGATGAAACGATCCATGGGGATCCTGGAATTCGGGAGGGAATAAACCAAAATATAGTTCCTTTGGTAATTTTGCTAACCAGAAGGTCAACAGTTCAAATCTACCAGCCACTCATTGGAAACCCTATGGGGCAGTTCTACCTTGTCCTCTACGGTCGCTGTAAGTCAGAATCGACTAGACAGCAGTAGCATTGGTAATTTCATTAATTTCATGGATCCCAAAAAGGCATCTTTCCTATCCAGCTCAATGAAATCAAAAAAGTCTAATTTCTTTGTTTTGAGATGAACAAAGGCTTTTATTCCCTATTACACAGAAATAGATCTTAGGAGAGGTAATAAATTCATTTGTATCTTTTTTTTTCCCATACAAAAATTTCTACATGCATTGTTATGTGACTCTAATTGCTCTTCCCATACTGTGACAGCACACTTCTTTCCACCCCTGATTTCCCATGTCCATTCAACCAGCTCCTAACCCTCTCTGCCTTCCCATCTCACCTCCGGACAGATGCTGCCCATTTAGTCTCTTCTATCTACTTGAGCTAAGAGGTACACTCCTCACGAGTATCACTTTATGTCCCACAGTCCAGTCCAATCCCTGTCTGAACAGTTGGCCTCGGAAATTGTTTTAGTTCTGGGCTGAGAGAGAATCCAGGGGCCATGCTTTCTGGAGTACCTCCAGACTCTGTCAGACCATTAAGTCTGCTCTTCTTACTAGAATTTGAGTTCTGCACCCCACCTTTCTCCTGCTCCATCCGGGACTCTCTCTTGTGTTCCCTGTCAGGGCGGTCACTGGTGGTAGACA